ATATCGTCGAAACTAGAGCCAGCATAGCTACTGCGGTGGCAGTGCCGTCGATCAGGGTGATGCCTTCCGCCGTAGTATCTGACATGCATGACGCCCCCCCCCCCCCCGACAAAGTGCATCCATTGCGTGTCGCTGCGCCCTTGAGATACCAACGTACTCTGCGAGGCAGTGCGGACATACGTTTGTCGTGCCAATCTGCATCCAAGGGCCCCCTCGCGCCATGCATCGACAACCGGTGTTGATTGCCAGCATTGCAATTTCGAGAGACCCGCGAGCAGGTGCTGCCCTCGTGCATATACCCGCATGCCCAGAGCTCATGATCCTCGAGTGCTGGAGCCCCGCGCGCATCATCGTGCGCCTCAGGAACTGGTGCGCGCTGAAACTCAGGGGGAGGAAGCATCGCCGCGAAGGCGCGCTGACGAAGTCGATCGAAGTCGAAATTGCAGGAATCGCTCGCGAGATCGAGGCCCCGAAAGAGCTCGAGATAGCCGCGTCGTAAAACCGTGCCCCCGAAGCCGCCCGTCGTCCATCATCTGAACCTCCTCCCAAGATGTCCACCTCATCTGCTTGGCCCACGGGTTTGCTCTCGTTGTGATGTCATTTCCGCTCAGAGTGTCACGTTCGAAATCATATTTCCCAAAGAGTGCTGTCCAAATCTGAATGTGTCCAGGGCCTCGCGGAATGCTGCTGGACTCGTTTCAGACGTCGACCCTTCATTTCTAGACAAGCGGGTGCGATGCGCCAATATTTTAAAAATTCGCTCGTGCTCATGCGGCGATGCGTTTCAAAATCCCCAGACAAAAAATGCGCTGCCCCCTGCGTGGCCTTTCGTGAAAAAAAAAGCGAGGGCCTTGTCCAAGGCCTGGTGCTGAGCCTCGCTAGGGACATGCGCTTCCACTCCGTGCAGCAATGTGTTTTGGACGCAACATCTCAGCATGCTTCGGCGCGCCTTCCCTGGCTGCATCGGGGGGGGGGGGGGGGCCAGAAACTCCCGAGTGATTTGTGCCGCGAGAGCCGCCTGCATCCTTTTCTCAGCTCGGGTACAAAGCTGAGGCTCGCAGCAGCCCGCGCGCCCAGATGTCGTGCAGAAGCGCCGTGCTTGGCGGGGGGTGGACGGGCCTCGCGCCGCAAGCCTTCAGCCGCTCAGGAGCGACCGCCACCTGCAAACAAAGGGGCTATCTTCCGCTTGCCGCGGTTTTGCTTACATCCGATGGTGGCGAGAGCCTCGTCCAAATACTCATTGGCCAGAGAGGGGCGTCGTGCAAACTCGGTCAGGCGTTCCCCGGCCCTCGGGGGCAAAAGCTTGAGCAAATCGTCTGCATGCTGAAGCACTGACGTGTCTACCGTGCGTTCGGAGAAGGGGTCAGTGGCACAAGACTCATCTCATTGCAATCACGCGTGCGCATGAGCTGCTGCCGTTGATTTTTCACTGGGCTGAAACGCTAGAACAAGCTGTCTGACTACCAGGGGGGCCCCCATGAAGGCACCGCATCCGAAATTAAAAAAGGTAAGGCCCCCTGGGCGCGGATGAGGGGGGCCGACTACAGCCTCTTGAAAAAAACGCGGGCAGCCCTGGGAAACCAAACCTTCGCGCATCAGTTGCTCCGTGGCGTCGGTAAGGGCGCCCCATCGTGCGCTGTCGAAGGCGTGGCTGGAACCGCGTATGTGCGCTCGAACAGATCGACCCGCCTCTCGAGCGCGCCGCGTTCCTATCGTGGCTCCTCCGATGGCGGAATCTTCGCGCTTACCTGGGAGGAAACCATGAACCTGACTACGCATTGGCTGAACGGTGCTGTTTACTGAAGACCATCCTTTCCCCAGGGTGGGGAGCAGGTGTATTGTTCGCATGCCATGAGAGCTGTCTCCGACATCCTCCGAGCCATTCTTCTCGGGTCATCTGATCCCGAGACTAACGCGCCAAAACATGGGGCCCGTTGGGGCATTTTTTTTTTTTTTTTTTTTTATATTTTTTTTTTGTTTTTTTTTTTTTTGCTTTGCAAACCTAATCTTCGAGGCGGCTCGAAGACGCGGGGCCTCGAGAGGCGGGGGGCTCGGTGCCTATGCCCGCGACCTGTCTTTCAGGATCGGCCTCGGGGGCCAGGAGAATCGCCGGTAATTCGAGTGGCGCCGACCATGGCGGGCAAGTCATCCTCTTAGGGCCTCGGCGGGCCCACCAAGTAAGGCGGCGCAGGTCGCTGCGGGCCTCCCTGCGAACATCCTCATCGAGTCACTCGACAGTGGCGGCCATGTCCAGTCGTTGACGTCGGTCGCGGAACCAGCCCCCCACTGGTTGTGCTTCCATGCCGCCGGCAAATCCGGGAAGCCCCCGCGGTTCCATCCATTGTGCTGTGCTGAGCCCATTCGTCCAAACTGCCAGAGAGGGTCGCCTCTTAACGCTGTATCCAGTGCCAGCAGCTCGACGCGCCAGAGCGCGCGCCTGGACCATGCGCCGCTCCTTCCAAGCTCGCCACACCTCCTCGATCAGCTCGGTCCGATGCTGGATCGATGTTGGATCCACTCTTGATTTCGCTCCCGTTCAAGATGAGTAGAGGGTCGCCTCAAGTCATGAGCGACCGCCTCCACCTCGGAATTATCAGCTTCAGCAAGCTGTTGCTTCAGTCGCTGTCGTTGTTGCACCAATGCACGTCGGCGCCGTCGAAGGGCTTCGCGCCGTTCATCCCGAGGTGGGGCCTCGCAAAATACATCCTGTCCAGCATCGCGCAGAGTGGTCTCCAGCTGTTCGAAAAGTCGATCTGGAAGTTCAAGGTCCATGTACTGTTCGTGCGTCGAGATGTCGCGCGCCAGGCGCTTTTCAACCTTTTCAACAAGAGCTGCTTGGTATGTGGTTTCTACCAGTGAAATCGCCCATCATGCTGCCACGACGCCACTATAGCGGAATGGTTGTCTCGGCGGGGGGGCCCCGCTGCCATCGCAAAATTCAAATGGATCGGTGGGCGGTCTTTCTTCTGCCGTGTATTTGCCAACTGCGAGGGCCTGCCGAGTCCAGCCAATGGTCCAGCCGATTGTGCCTGCTGTGCCCTCGATCGCCATGCCGCGTATCCATGTCCACAGCAGTGTTGGTGGCCCATAGACTGCGTAGCTCCAATCTGCGTCGACATCCCCGCCCCGCATAGCGTTCCCTGCGGGCGCCCGCGGTGTCAGCCGCCCCAGTGTGGATCATCGTGTTCGGCCCCCGCGGTCCATCTTGCATTCCCATGCCGTCGTTCAAATCTATGCCAATGCTGGGGGCGCAGCGGGCAGGGGCGTCGTTCAATGCGTCAGATATCCATCCAAACAAGTTCTGTATAGTGCTCTCGTAGGTCATCGCCGTATTTGCTTTCGTCGGCTGGGGCGGGGCACATGCGCCAATGAAAAGGAAATCGTGAAATCTGTTGGCAATGCGCGCCGCCAGTCCCCGCCCCGCGAGCGATGCAGGATGTGCTCGTGGGCTGCGCGCGTTCTTTTCTTTGAGTTTCTTCCGAAAGTCCTAAGTGTGCCAGTCGCCTTGTTTGTGTTGGCTCCCTTCTGAAACCCTGCATCAATGCGCCATCTTGCGCCCGCTCGAACTTATTCCACGCGCGAGTCCGTGCGCCTCCGTGCGCCCGTCAGGACAATCGCATCACGTGCTGCAGTGGCTACCTCAACATCGTCAATTCGTGCCTGTCGGGTCGCCGCCAATGGATTGTAGTGAAGAAATCGCCGCGTCGGTAGTTGGCCATGTAGCGCTGGGGCCGCGATGCGAGCGCGGCGAGAAGTGACTCCCAAGCACGAGCCGCCATCCGGGGGCCGCCATCGCAGCCATCGGCACCTCCACCGTGAGCCTCCACCCGCGCAGGTGGCGGCACTTCTCGGTTCGATCTCGGCGTTGGTCGTGGCGTGTCCTTACAATGGCCTCATGCGGCTACGACTAGGACGACGACGACGAAGACGACGACGACTGCGACAACGACGACGAGGACGACGAGGACGACGACGATACAAACAAACGACGACGAAGACGACAACGACGGCGACGACGAAGACGACGACAAGGACGCCTCGTCGGAGGGCTGGGTTCTGCTGCCCCCCGCCTCGCGCGCCGGGGCCCTCCGAGGTTCATTTTTGGGCTTCACTGTTTTGCTTGTTGAAAAAAAGTTGGGGGAATCGGAAGGGCAAGGCGATCGCGAAACTCGAACCGACGTCCCCGGCACGACGCCTCGATTGTCTGGCTGCTGGCTGCCGTGCGCGCGCGACCGCGCGACCGCGCGCGACCCGCCAGGCCCGCGGCATAAGCCCTGGACTGGGGCAGCGAGGCAGATGCAGGTGCCGTGGAATCGGTGCAAAAATTGCCCCCAAGAAGCGAAGGTCTCAACGGCTGGCTCCTGCCTCCTTCGCGCCGCTCCGCGGCCACGCAAGGCGCGCGGGGTCGCCCATGCCGACCTTCGCGGTGCCCCTTTCGTGCGGGCACTGGACAAGGAACCCTGGGCTATGGAACATAATCTGGAAGCCGATGAACCACCAATTGAGGCTCGGCCATGGGTATCGCCGCCGCCTTCATCGGATGAGGAATCTTCCAGGGTCTGAAGCCTCCTGGGTCCTGGGCGCATTGCTGAACGAACGCCCCCACCGTGCCGGCCTTCGAAGTGCCCCTAATGAAAGGTCCGTCAGCCTGCTGAGCAGTATACGCATACAGTGTACACCTACATCGTCCTTCACACATACATGTACATGTACGTGTGTGTAAATATATACACATACATATCCACGCGAAGCATCACGGGTGACACAACCACATCGCGAAACAAAACTAGTTCGGGAGAGCAATCTGGAACTCTGCACGCGCCGATCTGCAATTGGCAAACGCATGCTATGAACCGTGGCCTGGACAACCACTCAACACGGCAATTGCTCTGCATGCATGTGGCGCGGATGATCCCCGAGGCACAAACGGGCAACGATATCCCCTACACACAGCGCGCGCTCGTGACCTGGGGCCCGGAGCCGCGCGTGGCGCCGACGGCCGCGAAGCGAGTGTCAAGTGCCTGCAGGATGGCGTCGACGCCGTGCTCGTCGCAGAAGAGCTGGCCGCCGTCGAGGTACCACGCGACGAAGATCTCCATTCCTTGCGCGGCGAGATCGGCCCGCGCGTCTTCGACCACGTCCAAGATCACGGCGTTGGTCAGCAGTCCGCCTAGAGAATCGCCCTGCTCCACGCGCCAGGAGACCTCGGCGCACTCCCCTTTCGGCAGCTGGACCCGCAATGGGGCCGCACGGCACCATTCCAGCCACGCCAGCAAACCAGGGATATGTCGAGCGCAGGACTCTCGGATGCCGTGCCACTCGAGGCTAGGGAACGCGTTGCAAAGGTCAATCTCCACGACCGCGGTGCGCCGCCCGCTGCGAAGGAGAACTCGCTCCGCAGCATCGAGGCCCCCAGGGATACCTGCGCCAAGCTGGCGGTGCTGCACGAACAGCTTGCCGGCGGCACCACGCTCGTCGAAGGCGAACCGCTTGGCCACGACCTGACGTAGCGCCTGGCCCACGCGAGTGGGTCGAGGCGCCGACAAGTTCCTCTTCTTGAGGAAACAGAGTTTGCTTTCTAGGATCCACCTCGAAACGGTAATTCGGGAACGCCCCGGCCGCCGCCGCGCCGTGCAAGCTGCGCAGAGCGGAATTGAGCGGTCCGTAGACGTGGAGGCGCACGCCGAGGGCCTCGTGCCAGCGCTCCGGCTGCATCCCGGAAGGGCCAGGGGCCGACAGCGCCGCCGCAAAGCGCACGCCCTGCATCGGGCCGCGACGCTCCTGCTCGTCGCCTTCTGCCTCACCCGCCGCGGCCGCCAGGTTCGAAAACGCCCGTCGCCTGTGCTGGCTGTCAGGGAGCAGTGTGGCCGCCCAGGCGCCCAGGCGCGCTGGTCGGCGGGCGCCAGCGATGCCACCTCGGTGATGGCTCGGCCGCAGGCTCCCTCACGCACGAGCGCGCGCGCGAGCACCCCGCGCGCCCGCGGCGCTCGAAACTGCTCCTCCGCCCTGCACAGGAGCTCCGTGAAGGTGCCGTCCCGCCAGAGATCGAAACGCACGTGCAACTCGCCCTGGAGACTGAAGCCCGCCAGGGGTGGCGCCAGCTACTTGCTGCACACCGTCCTCGGTGCTGGAGGCCGCCTGCGCGCCCCTCACTCGCCGACTCCCGGCGGTCGCGGTCGGGCGTCCTCCTCATTCCTCCTCTTCGGCCGTTCTTCGCTTTCCCACCCGCTCCGCGAGCCTCGTGCCCGGCGTGCCCCGCTGGTCTCGACCCCCGCGCCCACGTGCGCTGGCGCTGCCGATCAACAAAATGGGTCGTTGGACCTTGAACGATCGGAGCTCTCCGAAAGCGCAGATCGTTCAGTGTTGGACGAATGACCATTGGCGGCGTTTAGCTTTGAATGCCCGCGGTGCGGTCGGCCGAGTCAGCACGACACGAACCCACAATAGGAATCGTTGCTGGACGGGCTGGTGGGGATACGCGAGGCGCCAACGATTGTGATCCCAATGTCGAGCCCTTTGTCGACGCTAGCTGGCTTGTTCTTCATCCTTTTTCTCCCTCTCCTCCTCCGCCCCCCGCTCGTGTCCCTGTCCTCTGCGAGCAGATCAAACATTTTGTCGGAGACCTGGTCCGAGTGGCCGAAGCCGCGGAAGAATGCCCGCAGCTTTGGGCGACTGTTTGAAGGATCAACGTGGACCCCAAGTCCCTATACGATCATTGGTGAAACGGAAGAGCACATGTGGGATCAGGAAGGAACGCATCTCCGCAATCACATGTCACATCCTCTCTCCGAAAGTGAAGCGACGCCATAGGCTGATCCTCGGTGCGCCGGTGAAGGCAAGGTCGTCTCGGACAAGACGGGGCACGACTCGGTTGCTTCTGGACGCAAGAGCTCATGCCCAGAAATTCTTTGCAATTCCTGTGACGTTCTGTGGAGTCGCCCAATCCTCCGCTCTGCTGGATCCTGTGCTCCCTTCGAGCACGACCGATCACGCTGGGTGCGGGGCACGGGGCAATGGGGCCTGTGCACACTCCACCCTGCTCTGTCGGGATGTCCGCTGGGTGTGACCGATCAGGTCTGTGCTCGCAATCTTGAGGGTATGCGAACTGATCATGCCATCCTTCGGCACCAAACACGCCACTTCTTCTCGAACCTGCTCTCCCTGCTTGATACTATACGACCCTGCAATCCGTACAACACGCGCAAGACACACTCCGCGCAAATTGTAGCGTCCTCCTGCCGCGTGATGCGGCCGTTGCGCTGCAGGTCCAACATGCGGAACCTTAGACGCAACAGACTTGACCGCAACATCCAGCCGGGTGGGAATGGCAGTGTGTGGAAGGCAAGCTGTGGACGCGATTGCACCGTTCGGCCAAACTTTACACTCATATCATTCATGATCTCTGGGTGGGCCAGGGCGTTTTTCACAAATCAGGATGTGCTTCAAGGATCCTTGCTTCCTCGCTCCCGGGTGCGGTTCTTGGCCCTTCGGCCCTTGGGTATCGGCTCCTGGGCCCTCGGGGCCCGCCCATGTGGTCGACTCTGGAAGCCCTGGATCCAACACTGATGACGTGTCACTCTTGCTTCTGCCGCCTTCCGCCGACCTTCTGGCGGCGAACCTGCCGCAATTTGCTCCCGCCGTTTTTGCTTCTCACAGATGCACGGTCTCTGACCTGACCCGTCGTCCCGCCGAGGAGGAGGTGCCAGCTCCTCCGATCCCTCGAAGAGAAGGCCCTTTCTGGAACGCCACACCTGGAACCCCCTCTTTGGACGCCCGACATGGGTACGGAAAAGTGGGTACGATGCCCAAGAACAAATGGTGTCCAAAACCGGCAGCGACCGCTGCTGGGCAGACTGCCTTCTGTCTAAGCTGGACAACGTCCGGCGCCCCCACGGCGACACCGACAGCGAGTCCTGTTCGGAATGAAAAGTAACTGCTGCCGATGCGCTGCGCGCTGCTATGACAGTCACTTGAGAAGGTTACTATTTCTGGCCAGCTTGGTGTTGCCAGGCGCTCGGCCCTTCTCGAGTGCTCTGAAATACGCAAGCCCCGTTCTCGTGGGGGCCGTGCCCTGATAGCAGTCGCCGAGGGTCGCGGGCGGCGGCTGGGGAGTGCCTGCCCCAGGCAGGTGCGCTGCTCTTGCCTTGTTGGTATGAAAGAAAACGGCGACCCAAGATCGCCCCAGAGCCTTGCAAGAGGGCCCCAAAACGGCCCTAAAACGTTCCAGCAGGGTACCGCCCCCTAAGCAGCATCCGAAGGCGTCAGACGGGCCAAGCGTCCCGTAAGACAGCCCCCAAGAGGCCCCAAGAGGCCCCCAAAAGGCCCCAAGCGGCCCCACGAGGGGCCCAAGCGGCACTCTGCAGGCTCCCAGGAGGCCCCCCCGAAGAGCCCCCCCCCAGAGGGCCAATGCTCGCGGCAAGGCACGGGGCGCCTCTCGCGCCCGCCACGCCCAAGGCCTCCCCGCGACCCCACCGCGGCGGGAGGCCCTCTCTCTCTCTCTCTCTTTTTTTTCTCTCTTTCTCTCTCTCTCTCTCTCTTCCTCCTCCTCCTCCTCATCCTCTTCTTTCTCTTCCTCTCTCTTTATCTCTCTCTCTATATGTATATCCCTCCCTCCCGCCTCCTCCTCCAATCTTTTGCCTGGATATTCATAATCCCTGCAAGATGTTCCGGTAATATATCATGGTCAGCGGGCTCCGCCGATGACATGGGGAAGAAAGGATTATGCCGTCAAGCGTACACTAGGGTAATGCTGAAGGGAGGAGGCCGGCCCGCCGGCCGACGCGCGCGCGCGCCGCAGGCTCGCTCCTTTTCCGTTTCCCTAGAGCCAAAATGGTATAGCTGCGAGAAGTACATCGGGCAGCGCACGCAAGGCAAAAGAGCAGTAAACGCTAAAAGATGGTGGCGCGGAAGGGGTGCATTGATTCCCCCCGCGGCGGGGTCCGGAGAGCCGCCCCGACCCCCGCCAACCCACCTCACCTGTACATATGCACAGCCACCGGAACGAACCCCAAAAGCATTTTCCCGCTCGACGGTGGTTGCCAGGGGGCGGAAGGCCGAAGTAACCCGACGTTCCCCGCCCGAGCTAATATTTCCCAGCTCAGGCCACAACGCCCGTGCACACCTGGTGCACCCGCTCCATGATGTAGTTTGGACCAGCATCGACTATGTCGCACTGGCTCTTTTGTGTTGCGTCGCCTTTGCCAATGACTCCTCCATTCACGCGAATCATCGCACGTGTCTCTGTTACTCCAGTTCCACTGGTACTGATCTCTGGAGTAGTTGTCATGTCTATTTTCTCTTCTGCTTGAACTCCAGCTGCTTGGCTCGCTCTTGCCCTGGCCCTTCTCGCGCGGCCTCGCCATCGACGTGGGCGGCGGCGGAGGCTCTGGCAAGGTGCTCGGCACCCCAGAATCACGTTTGAATTTGTCGTTGTAGTCGTTCCAACTAGACCACTGCCACGGTTAGGTACGGCCAGTGACCCGCTGATGACGAGATACATGTACGCACTATCCTTGAATTTCACCATTCTCATTCTTGCCCTCGCAGTCGACCGTCGCGTCGTAGCTGCCGCCCATGGACGGCCCGGGGCCGCCGCCGTCGCTCGCGCGGCCGCCTGGCTCTACAGCCGACCGCGCTATAACGGGCTCATCGGCCCCAGATTCATCTGCCCATGACTGGATCCTGTCATAATCAATCCAGCCAGCATTGGTGCCCGACGCGGCTGGGCCGGCGGGCGCAGGAGCATAGGGGGCGGTCCTATAAGACTGCCTTCCTTCCCGGTACCTCGCTTTCGATTCTGGGCGAGGATGTCGCTGATTTCGCTGTCCCGGAGCGGCGGCGCCGCTGTGGGTATTTTCTTCAACGATTGTGGTTGCGGCATCTGCTGGAGACTCAGCTGGGATTGCCTCTGAGAGTCGGCTGGGCTGCTCTCCTCCTTTTTCTTCTTGAGGTAATTAGTAATTCCAATAGCGTTGTCAGCGTTGAAGAATCCAAAACGGCCGTTGGCAAAACAGATCTTGACGCTAAAACGAGATTTCGTAGACGTATGCATGGAAACTGTAGCTTCTTGGATACTTGAGCAATTCCGGCTTGCGGTCTCTGATGCATCATTCCCTAATCATTTTGCCCATTCTTGAAGTAGGTCAAACGGTTCGACGGCGGATCTAATCCGACAATCCAAAGCATAAGCATCGCGCGTAGCTTCAAGAGCTGCATTCGCATTGTCTGGACCACGCTGCACCTCGTATCCCGGAAATGCAACATGATTCCCGCAGACGTGAACAATAATAATGCTTCTCGCACAACTAACAGAATGCGCCCCCATCTCCCGTGGGTGGGGGACTCGGCCAAATGGTTGGTTCCATCTTGTATCCGCGAGCTCGGACAATCCCAGCGGCACATCATGAATCATGTCTTTGCCAAATTGCATCGTGTCTGGGGCTGTCGATAAATATTCAAGAATGAATTGTGTTGCAACTATGATGACTTCTGGCCTATCGCATGGGTCATCATCGTATTTAGAATAGGACATGCAGCCAGACATAGGAAACAACTCAAGCCAAAAGGGCAGCGTTCTCGTCGGGACAATCAGCTGATGACGCTGGGCTAGATGTTGGTTGCATATGCCATCCGACGTCGCAGCCTTCTTTTTCACGTGCTGATATCACATCATCAATGCGGCTGGGCCGATGATGAAATCCAATAACAAACCGGAAATCCATGTCTCCGACTTGGTTCGACGCAGAAATTCGGTTGGCTTCGTTCAAATTTTCCGTTAACGCTTGAACTGATGGAATTATTACTCCTTTTTCCGCCATTTCTTGTTTCCATTGGTCACAGCCTGTCTCTGGGCGAATTTGCTCGGTGCTAACATGTTCCCAATCAAAAACACAAGCGCAGAGCATCCCACTGGGCGAGCGTAATGGTCCAGATCTGGCGTCCAGATTAATGGCCGCCATTGGGCAACGGTTGGGGCATTTTCCCCATGCTTGAACTTCAACCATTCAATGAGCCGAAGCTTGAGTGGTTCCAGATACTGGAAGTATGGCTCATGACGCGCCGGCGGCTGTGCCGAGGCGCTGTCAGGTCTCCAGGAAGGGGCGGTCCCTGGTTGCGAAATTACAAACGTACAACCTGCCAAGACAGCCCGGGAACGTATCTGTGAGTTTCTAACCCACTTGCGCTGGCGTTGTTCAGCTTTGTTCAAATTTTCATCTCATCAGAAGAGCTCTTTTTCATCGTTTTCAGCCTGTTAGAAATGATATTGGAACCACTTTCCCCTCTTGGGGGGGCATCTAGACGTGGGGCCAGTCCTGGGCTCGTCCATGCGGCAACCAATGCATCTCTGCCAGGCGATTGTAAATAGTTCACTCTGCGTCGTGTTCGGACGTGACAGGGGTGAGGCATTGTAGACAATGTCCGGAACCAGCCCTCACGGCATGGTACTGATTGCAAATGTACCTCCCATCGTCAGTCCACATTCTCCGCGTGATGAGGGCCTTTTCTCCTTCGGAGTGTACGCTGCCCTACATCGGCCACTTGTTCGTCGGAAAATATCGATGTTATAATTGTGCCGTGCGAGAAAGCAACTTCATACGCAGGCCACTCTTGAGAAAATATCATGTTCCAGATTATCTGCTGCGCGTTGCGTGCATTCTGCTCAACCAGCGTCAATTGCACGATGCGAGAGATGTCATTGAAGCGTGCTTATCCTGTCGTCGCAAGAGTTCCGTCGCGGCAGATGCGATGCCCCAGGGCCACCACCCGCCCGTTGAAGAAGACAACATATTGCCAATTCTCGTTATACGTTGCAACAGCTTCTCAGGAAGATCGGGTAACTGCGCGAGGCCAAGTTCCTTGAGTCCGAGGTCCACCGCCGGCCGGGGCAGCGCCCGCAGCCTGATAGACCTTTGCGAGTGGAGCTTCGCCATCCGTCCGCTGGCTGGGCCAGTGAGGGATGTGCTCGGCATATTCTGTAGGGAACTCACGCTTTGTAGGTATCAATCTAAGAAGTCCGTAAGCAGGTGCTTTGCGCAATCCACTAAGCTCATTGGGGTACTTGATTGCCCCTGGTCCTAATGTGGACTCCCTGATGGTCCCTAGGGAAGTAACGCGCAGCAAGTGCCCATGACATCGCGCCATCCCGGATTCGCAAGGCGAATACATGCGTTCTATGCTGTGGGCAAAACAAGAGTGTCCTTGACATGCACGAAAGAACACTGGCATGGGCCTACAAGCCCGTTCAGCTCCATCAGTGGAAACGGCACTGTCTCCATTGTCCT